TTTTTTCAACCACATTAGACCAAGATTTGTTGTTCTGAATCATATTTCTGTTCATGACTTCACATGTGTATCAGTTTAATCGCCTTCTCCCCAAACACTGTACATTTCTTCTGACTATGCATACTGGATTTCACTGAACTATTCAGTTGTCTTTTGCTGAATTAACGACATTGCTATGGTAAAAGCCATGGCTCAAATCCAGAATTTTCACGCCCAAACAGGTGAATTCCATGACGCCTGGATAAGAATCGTGAGATGGAAGTATATCTGCAGTGCCATTAACTGTTTGTTTATATATCATGGTGGAACTCCTTCGGTAGATTTGGAAGCATATGCTATTTGCTAAATCAATTTAAAGAAATAATTTGCAGGAAAATTACACCTGAAAGTCCATGTCACTATTGCTATATAGCATTTTTTTTAATCAAAACATTTTGGAAAAAGTAGGCTATAAAGCAATAAAGATTAATAACAATTTTGATGAGTTTCTGTTTTAGGGATTGCTTTTAAAAACTCTTGATAAATGCATATTTGAACAATACCTTTATTAGGCTTTGTTGTTGTGTGCCTTCAAGTTCTTCCTGACTTGTGACAACCCCAAAGCAACCCTATTGGATTGTTGCTAATAAGCGGGATACAAATACATTTTATTATTATTATTTATTATTATTATTATGGGGTTTTCTTGGCAGGTTTCATTCAGAGGAGGTTTGCCATTGCCTTCTCCTGAGGTTGAGAGAGTGCAACTGCCCAAGACTACCCAGTGGGTTTCAAGGCTGAACTGGGAATTGAACCCTGGTCTCCAGAGTCATAGTCCAACACTCCAACCATAACATCACATTGGCTCTTTATTAGGTGGTTGTTGTTGTGTACCTTCAAATAATTTCCAATTTATGGTGAACCTGAGGTGAACCTATCATGGGGTTTTCTTGGCAACTTTCTTCAGAGGAGGTTTGCCTAATTACTTATGGTCAAAATGGCATGCATCAGGCAAGATGAATTTACTCCTTATCAGTATGATTTTTAAAAATCTGGATTCAACATTGTTTCACATTGTTAAAATTTTATGAGTAATATTGTAATCTCCAGGTATTAAAAGGACATCACACTTTTTTCCTTCTGTTGTTTTCACTGCCAACTTCCAGGCAGAAAAAACAATCTTTTTATCTGTGTTTATGGCTGTTACACACTAGTATTGAAAACAATGACAACAATTATTTATGTATTACCATATCTTTCTGCATGCAACTTTCTGTGCACAATTTTATAATAACAAAGTAGATGTGTTTCTGGGAATTACTCCTTTAACAGAAAATTTGGTTCCAGAGGCAGAAATAACATGGAAAGAATACAGAGGTATAGCCATGTTAGTCTAGAACAGGGGCTAGCAACTTACGGCCTGTGGGCCGGTTCCAGCCCAGGTCCCTGTACTTACCGGCCCAGGCAGACCCCTGCCGGCACGTGCCGCCACCGCGCACCGCTGCTGCACGTTTCGGTCGGCGTGTGACCGCACGCGCCATGGCCGCCATTTTGATTTCTGTACGAAATATGTTGTAGCATAATGTTTTGTAGACTTCCTCAGATGCATGGAGTAAACTGATTCCCAGGAAGGACTTTTATAATTAGACCAAGTCCATGAAAGCTTATGCTACAACTTCTTTTGCACAGTTAAGTCTCAAAGGTGCTACAAGATCCCTTTGTATATGAAAAGAATAGTGTTAGGTTCTTAACCCCACCCCATAGAAGCAGTTTAATGTGTTTCAGCATATTTTTTATTCAAAATTAACAATGCGTACATTTGAAAGAAACAACCAGGTCTTGCACAGGTAAATAAAAACATTTTCTTGTGATTTTCATTTTGGTGACCATAAAGATACAGATCTATGCTTATAGATCTACACATTTTAACATGCTAGGGGTCATGGGTGTCCTGTGCATGTTACCATCAGGGGTCACTGGTGAGGCAGGTGTAGCTGCTCTCCCCTTATCTTTCTATTTTGTTGTTCATGCATCCTCAGAAAAAGATTCTGGAGGCACTGACTGTTTACCTTGCCTGTTGCAGGCAGGCATACACAGCTACAGTTGGACCAACTACACTAGAATTCTACTCATTTCGGCTAAAGCTTTGTTTATTGCATTGCTTACTGCAGCCACACTGCTACAGCTTGACACTCAAAACCATCCTTCATCATCTTCCCAAAGTAGATGCTGCTAAAATACTTCCAGCTAGACATAGAATGAGGAGGAAAAGGGGGCAAAGTGGGGATGAAACGCCTTTGTAAAAAGGAGCTTTGCTATCAAAGGATTTTTAATTGAGGTATGCCTGTACACTGTTTACTAATTTTTCAAATATATACTGCTGAATGACTGCAGGTTGAGACTCCCTTACATGAAATTAGGAAATATTCCAAAAACCAAAACTTTTTTTATGGGTTGCTGAGACAGTGGCATCTTTGCTTTCTGATGGTTTAATGTACATAAACTTTGTTTCATGCACAAAAATATTTTAAAATGTTTTTTAAAAATAACCTTCAGGCTATGTATATAAGGTATATGTAAAACATAAATGAATGTTGTGTTTAGTTTTGGGTCCCATCTTCAAAATATCTCATTATGTGTGCATATGCAAACATAGGTATTCCAAAATCCGAAAGAATAAAAAATACCTCTGGTCTCAAGTATTTCAGATAAGGGAGACTCAACCTGTAATGCAGAGGTGCAGTTAGTGCAGAAGTATAATCCCAGCTTTCTTTCATTATCTTAATTTGCCCATCTTGACCGCAGGAATTAAGATTTCCTAACCACAATCTTCTAATCTTTTGCTTGTTCTCCTTCCATTGTCATTTCTGTTTAACTAGATCTGGTTTTATCCAATACAGTGGTCCTATTTGTTCTCTCATCTAAATTTACATAGTTTGGGAAGGAAAGATAGCAAGGAATAAGAACAGTAATTATAGCATGTTGCTAGCCACTCCACAATTATAGCACTAATTTTAACTGACACTGCAGGAACATACGAAATCCTGGGGTTTGTAGTCTGGTGTGGTACTGGCAGGGAATTTTAAGTATTCCTCCCTAAACCACACATCCCAGGATACCAGAGGAGGGAACCATGACATTTCAAGTGGAATTACAATGCTATAACCAAAAACTAAAAAGCTAAACTAAAAAGCCTACAAGAATCCAACATGGTACACTGTCACTGCACCTGCATACGCAGGTCTGCTCTGTGTATGTTGAAACATAAGTGTTGCGGCAGAAAATCCATTAGGATGGATAGGAAGGGCGATATGGAGACAGCCCAGTCACAAACATCCAGATAATATTTTAAGAATGATGACACACTGTAACAACTTCTTATTAAGTACCTAGAAAGACACTCATGTTCACCTTGGCTTGTCCAGCACTCCAACAGTAGATACATCACACATTTTGCAGTAGATTATATGTGTGTGTGTGTGGGGGGGGCAAACAGTGCATCCACACTGGAGAAATAATCTGGTTTGACATCGCTTTGGGCCTTTGCAGACTGCCAGAAATAGTGCACATTAAATTGAGGCACTGCCCTGGCTCAGTGCTAGGGAGTCATGGGAATTGTATTTTTTTTCTGAGACATTGAGCCTTCTCTGTTAGAGAGCTCTGGCGCCACAATAAATTACAGTTCCCATGATTCCCTAGCACTGAGCCAGGGCAGTGCACCAGTGCCTGGTGGCGCAGTGGTTAAATGCCTGTACTACAGCCACTCACTCATAGAACACAAGGTTGCGAGTTCAATACCAGCCAGGGCTGAGGCTCGACTCAGGCCTGCATCCTTCCAAGGTCGCTAAAATAAATACCCAGCTTGTTGGGGGGCAATGAGCTTACAGTTGTAAACCGCGTAGACATCCCATGCGCGATATGAAGCGGTATATAAATGAAGCTGCTTTGCTTTGCTTTTTAATGTGCACTATTTCTGGCAGTCTGCACCCCCCCTCAAACTGCTGTCAAACTGGATTACTTCTCCAGTGTGCATGGACTCAGAGAGGAATTCCCAAGACCAGTGGGCAATGTAGCCCATTAGAGGTCACATCTATCCCTCTTTAATGCTTGGACCAGGTTTCAGTTTTACAATATCCTTTATCTCTGTTCTTCAGATGCTCAGGCCAG